GAGATGATTCCAAGAGGAACAACATTAGAATCATAGGAGTCCCAAAAGATCAGGGAAACAATGCCAATGAAAAAGCCATGGTCAAACAAATCATTGCTGAAAAATTCCCAGAATTCAACAATGCAGCTATTCAGATTCAAGGACCCTGAAGGGTGCCAGCTAAAAGAGACTCTAACAGAAACACTCCAGGACATATCATAGTTAGAATGATGGATAGAGACACAATACTGCAAGCAACAAGTTCAAGAAGGAAGTCATATACAAAGAAGCACCCCTTACATTCACAGCAGACCTATCAGAGGAAACCATCTAAGCCCGAAGGCAACGGTGGAATATAGTGAAAAAACTAACTGAAATGAATGCTTCACCAAGAATACTCTATCCGGCTATACTCTCACTCAAATTTGAAGGAACGGTACACTATTTTCTAGATAAATAGCAGCTCAGGAACTTCATAGACTCAAAACCAAACCTAAAACAAGGGCTAAAGGGGCTACTATAAGATAAGACAAACCCTATAAGCACAACAGATGCTTACAGAACAATGACACAAAAACCCATAACAATAATATCTCTCAATGTCAATGGTCTAAATTCACCAATTAAGAGACACAGAGTAGCAAAATGGATTCAAAAACAGAAACCAACATTTTGCTGCCTACAAGAAACTCATCTCAACAGTCAGAGCAAACACAGACTCAAAGTCAAAGGATGGAAAACAAATCCTGCAAGAAAACAGCTCCCTCAAAAAAGCTGGGGTGGCCATACTAGTATCAGACAACATCAGTTTCAGGTTGAAAAAGATTAGAAGGGACAATGGAGGCCATTTTCTCTTCATCAAGAGATACGTACAACAGAAAGAAATCGTACTCTTAAATGTATATGCACCTAATGAAGGAACAGCTAAATATTTAAAACAATTGCTAACAAATTTTAAGGAGTACATTGCTAACAAACAATAGTAGCTGGAGACTTCAACATCGTCTTATCACCTCTGGATAGATCAAAAAGAACGAAACTCAACAAGGAAACATTGATTTTGAAAGAAGAAACAGAAGAGAAAGGGCTTATAGACCTATACAGAGCTTTACACCCCCAAATTAAAGAATACACATTCTTGTCCAGTGCGCATGGAACATTTTCCAAAACAGACCATGTCCTAGGCCACAAAACATACATCAATAGAATCAGGAAGATAGAAATAGCATCAACCATCTTTTCAGACCACAATGCACTGAGGATAGAAGTGAATCATACACAGACACAAAGAACCAAATCAAACATCTGGAAATTAAACAACTCAATGCTGAACAACGAGTGGGTCAGGAAAGAAGTCAACAAATGATGAAATCAAAAGATACCTGGAAAACAAACGAGCTACCATAACCTATGGGATGCAGCAAAAGCCATATTAAGGGGAAAATTTAGAGCTCTACAAGAATTTGTCAGGATGGAAGAAAGAATGTACTTAAAAAACTTGACTTCACAGCTCAAGACCTTAGAAAAGGATCAACAGAAGGAGCCCAAATAAGGCAGAAGGAAAGAGATCATAAAATTTAGAGCAGAAATCAATGACATGGAAACCAAAGAAACTATCTGAAAGATCAGTGAAACCTAGAGCTGGTTCTTCGAGAAAATAAACAAGATAGATAAACCACTAGCAAAACTCACAAAGAAAGAGAGAGAGAGAGAGAGAGAGAGAGAGAGAGAGAGAGAGAGAGAGAGAGAGAGAGAACCCTAATAAACCAAATCAGAAATGAGAAGTGGGATATCACAACAGAAAAAAAAGAAATTTAAAAGATCATCAGAGACTACTTTGAAAGTCTGTATGCCACAAAACAAGAGAACCTAGAAGAAATGGATAAATTCCTGAATTCCTATCATCTCCCAAAGTTGAATAAAGAAGATCTAGAGTACCTGAATAAGCCTACTAACATCAAGGAAATTGAAACTGTAATCAAAAGTCTTCCCAAAAACAAAAGCCAAGGTCCAGATGGATTCACTAGCAATTTCTCCCAAACATTTAAAGAGGACCTACTGCCAGTCCATCTCAAGCTTTTCCAGGAAATTGAAAAAAAAAACAGAAACTCTCCCAAACACTTTTTATGAAGCCCATATCTCTCAAATACCAAAAGGAAATAAAGAAACCACAAGAAAAGGAAACTACAAGCCGATACCCCTGATAAATATGGATGCAAAGATTCTCAACAAAATACTAGCAAATAGAATTCAAAAACTCATCAAAAAGATCATACACCATGACCAAGTGGTATTCATCCCGGGGATGCAAGGATGGTTAACATTCGGAAAGCAATCAACATAATCCATCATATCAACTAAAGAAAAGATAAAAAACATATTGTCATATCAATAGATGCAGAGAAAGAATTTGACAAACATCCAGCACCCGATTATTATGAAAATCCTCTCCAAAATGGGGATAGAGGGAACTTTCCTCAATATAGTTAAAGCCATTTACCACAAGCCTACCGCAAGCATCATCCTCAATGGGGAAAAACTGAGATCCTTCCCTCTAAGATCTGTGATGAGACAAGGATGTCCACTCTCTCCACTGCTATTCAATATAGTACTGGAAGTACTTGCAGTAGCGAGTAGGCAAGAAAAAGATATTAAGGGCATCCAGATAGGAAAGGAAGAAATCAAGCTCTCACTATTCGCAGATGATATGATACTATACTTAGAGAACTCTAAAACCTCTACGAAGAAACTCCTAGAAACAATAGACTTGTATAGTAAAATGACAGGCTATAAAATCAATACCCAAAAGTCCATGGCTTTCCTATATGCAAATAGTGAAAGAAAAGAAAATGACATGAGTAAAACAATCCCTTTCACAATTGTGCCCCAGAAAATCAAGTACCTAGGAATCAACTTAACTAAGGAAGTCAAGGATCTGTACAAAGAAAACTACAAAACGCTACTTCAGGAAATAAAAGAGGACACCAGGAAATGGAAAAATATCCCCTGTTCATGGATCGGGAGAATTAACATTGTCAAAAGGCAATACATCCCAAAGCACTGTAGAACGTCAATGCCATCCCTATTATGATACCCATGACATTCTTCAAAGAAATGGAGCAAACACTCCTGAAATTTATTTGGAACAATAAGCCACCACGAATAGCTAAAGCAATTCATGGGAAAAAGAAAACGAGGGTAATCAACCTCCCTAACTTCAAGCTCTACTACCAAGCAGTAATAATTAAAACAGCATGATACTGGAACAAAGGCAGAGCTGCAGACCAATGGAACAGGGTCTAATATACTGACATCTCCCCTCAAGCATATGATCATCTAATCTTCGATAAGGGGGGAAGAAAAGTGAAGTGGAACAAGGAAAGCCTCTTTAACAAATTGTGCTGGCAAAACTGGACGGCTACATGCAAAAATGTGGGCTCAGATCTCTGTCTAACGCCATGTACAAAAGTAAGATCAAAATGGATTAAAGACCTTAACATCAGACCAGAATCCATAAGGTATATTGAAGACAAAGTTGGCAAAACCCTCCATGACATTGAAGCTAAGGGTATCTTCAAAGATGTCACGCTACTGGCCAAGCAAGTGAAAACAGAGATAGACAAATGGGACTATCTTAAACTAAGAAGCTTCTGCACTTCTAAAGAAACAGTGACCAAAATACAAGGACAATCTACAGAATGAGAAAGGATATTCTCTGAACACACATCTGACAAGGGGTTGATATCAAGGATATAAAAATACTGGCTGAACTCCACAAGAAGAAAACAACTGACCCCATCAAAAAATGGGGCGGCCAAATGAACAGAAACTTTCTCAAAGAAGGAATCTTAATGGCAAAAAGGCACATGAGAAAATGCTCTACATCACTACATCACTAATCATCAGAGAGATTCAGATCAAAACAACAATGAAATATCATTTCACACCAAAGAGACTGGCCCACATCCAAAAGACCAAAAGCAACTGGTGTTGACACTGATGTGGCAAGAAAGAGACTCTCCTTCACTCCCACTCATTCGGTGGGAATGCCGACTGGTTCAGACCTGTTGGAAAACAGTATGGTCGATCCTCAGAAAACTAGAAATTGAGCTCCCATCTGACCCAGCAATACCACTCCTGGGAGTATAATATATCCCAGAGAGGCCAAAAAGTATAGTCGAAGTGACATCTGCACTTTTTTGTTCATTGCAGCACTCTTTACAATAGCCAGAATCTGGAAAAAACCTGAATGCACAAGAACAGATGACTGGTTAAAGAAACTTTGGCACATCTACGCAATGGAGTACTGTGCAGCTGTTAGAAAAGATGATGTCATGAAATTCATATACAAGTGGTACTACATGGAAAGTATCATGCTGAGCGAAATGAGTCAGAAAGAGCGGGACAGGCATAGAAAGATTGCATTCATCTGGGGAACATAAAGTAACAAATTAGGAGACTAACACCCTAGAATAGCCGAGATAAGTACCAGGAAGATTACTCCATGGCTTTGAGGACAGCCACACATGCTAGGGGAAAAGGCAGCTCAGACAGAGAAGGAAGCACCAAATAAAGGGTGTTGGGAAGTTCCTCTCAGGATGGGAAATGCGTGATGAGAGTAGACTATAGACCGAACAAGATTGCCACTCAATGTCTCTATTGCAAACTACAGCACTCAAAATTAGCAAGGTAACAAAAGGGAATGCCCTGCCACAGAGTTAATGTGGGATGGGGGAATAGGGGGAGGGAGGGATACTGGGACTGGTAGTGGTGGAGAATGGGCACTGGTGGAGGGATGGGTATTCGATCATTGTATAACTGAAACCCAACCACAAAAATTTGTAAGTCTACAACTGTACCTCATGGTGTTTCACTAGTAAAAATTTGAGAAGGGAAAACAACCAGAAACAATCACAGAACTCTCATTATCCTTTGATTAATATGATCCTGAAATTTAAAAATTTTAAACCTCAGAAAGATATAAAAATAATAGAATGGCTCTTTAGAATTGTTATAATATTCCTCAAGTAATCTCATTGTACTGATTTTGAAACAATCAGAACAGACTACACAGCTGCTATATAAGTCCATGCCTGTGTCCCCAGAACAAGCTCTCAACCAACCTTGGTATGGTTTCAGGATTGGTGGTGAAAAATCAAGTCTTTGGGAGCCAGAACTTTGGGCATCCAGTTAGTACACCTGGAGAAAGGATAAGACAATAATTAAAGTCTTTCGGATATGTTTGCTGTTAATTTGGGCTCCAACAATTCTAGTAAAGATAAAACTATTGTGCCTTATTTTCTAAGTAATTTTGATATCATTAGATGTGTGTCACAACAGACTGGTGAAAAGTAAATCATGCAAACATTTTCTGTAACAACATCTCAGCTTATTTAAAAAATAAAACAAAAGTAAAACTGTATATTGTTTAAGTAAATTACATTTAAAATGGAATATATTGATTAAAAATGGTGAGGTAGTTCATATTATTAAAGTTGGGGCCAGAAAGATAGTATAGCAGGTATGGCATTTTCTTTGCATGCTGATGACTCTGGTTCGATTTGTGGCATCCCTTATGGTTCCCCAAGCATCACCAGGAGTAATTTCTGAGTGCAGATCCAGGAGTAACAGAATATTAGATCATCTTTCACATAGAATATTAGATCATCTTTGAGTATTGCTGGTTGTAGCTCAAAAACAAAGTTGCATCTGTCTGAAGGGGAACTTTGTTATAAATGTCAGAAAATTATTTTGTACATGACTAGGATATTTAAGTATACTACTAAAAGGAAACTCGAAAGAAAAAAATAAATATGTTTTTAAATATTTACATTTATTTTATAGAATATTGCATTTAAAGTTAAAATCAGAATACAATATTCTCATTGGTGAATGGTGCATGTTAATTTTTACAAGAAAATTTCATTATTTTTCTTGTTTAATAATATATCATGCAATAATATTATACAAAAAACTAGTTAATAAAAATCGTGTACATATCCATACTAAAAACATCTTTTAATTGTTTAAATTTACCTAATAATGAAATCATTCAGTTTTATAGAGATATAGAGTACAATGTCAGATATTAATAACTTCCTTTAATTGAAAAACGCTTGAAATTTTCTTCTCAGAATTCATGGAAATACTTTCCAAAAATCTATTTTCAATCCACGTGATAAAAATAAATATTTGTTATTTGGTTACCACTTACTTACTTGAAATAAATGTTCCCAAAAAATCAGTATAAATACAATATAAAAATGATGTAAATTGTTACAAAATATCAAGTCAAGGTTTGGGCCAAAACTAACAAGGCTCAAAACAGAATGATTATGGAAGATGCAAAGACTATTTCTATTTAAGTATAAATATTTCACTGATATGCAGTTATGAACAGATGGTAACTAACAAAAAGCTATTTGTCATCTAATTGCAAGAGTATTATTTTGCTAAATTGTTTCCAAGAATTTGTTTATTCTGTATCTGATCTGACAAATTATTTTGGATAACTACTATTATTTTATTAGAAAAATAATACTATGCCACTGCTACTTGTACATGGTAAACACATATGTGGACACAGTGTAACAATGCACTTTAATCTGTAAGCTCTTTATATTTGAAATTTAATAGGTAGAATTAAAATATACAAATAAATATATATAGGTAAGATTTCAAGCATCATATAAAAATACAAGAAGCTAGTGAGCATCAGAAGAGAGAGTTATTATTAATATCAGTTAGATCACTTTTTATATGTGACTATTTTAATTCTACTAAAAAAATAAAGGTTCAGTGTTTTATGCAGCATGTGGGTAATGCTTATAATAAGTGAAATAACAAGAAATGCAAAGATGATCTAATATTCTATATGAAAGATACTCCATAATATTCATGTAAAGCATAGCAGAAAAAAGATTAATTTGGTGTACCACATGGAAAGGATGAATATTGTAAAACTTACATATTCCCAGGAACTCATTCTTAGTAAAATGACAGTGTGCAATTTAGGGAAATGTTAGGTAAGTAGAACAGGTCAGATGACTCAAAGAATAACACTACTTGCCTGGTCCTCAAAAATTGTAACTTAAGCAAATTGTTAACTGATCACTTGATCACTTGACATCCCGTTACTCATTGATTTGCAGAGCTCTTTCGATTCCTCTTTGGGAGACCTGAATAGCGTTCTCATCCTGTTTTCATAGGGCCCAGGTCTCTGAGTCATATGTTAAAGCAGGAAAAACAGTGGAATCAAAGAGATGTGCTCGAAGCGGGAGGTTCTTCATCCTCTTAGCTATTTCCTCGGGACTCTTGAACGCATTCCAAGCCTCTTTCTTCCTCCTACACAACTCAGATGCCAGGTCATTCATCAAGTTGACTTCTCTACCTAGGTACACATAACTGTTGCACTCAGATGTTCGTTCCGTTGAGAGTGAATGAAACGTCAGGAAAGAGACGGTTTCTCATAAACATTGTCTTTGTGAGATTCAGCTGTAGTCCAACCTTTCCACACTTATAGTCGAAGTAGGTCAGCATTTGTGCCGCTTGGCTGATATTTGGTGTTATTAGAATGATGCAAAGCGGAGGTGGTGTAGTTGCCGACCATCTGTCTTCACTCCCATTCCTTCCAATTCCAGTCATCCCATCACGTTCTCGAGGGTGGCACTGAAGAGTTTTGGTGAAATGGTATCACCCTTCTAAACCCCTCTCTTGACATTGATGATCACTTCTTTGTAGAATGGTGAGATCCTGGTAGTGAATCCGTAATACAGCTCACAGAGGATCCTAATGTATTGAGTTAACCGAGGTTCATAATAAACCATCATCTGATACTACACATATTGTTTTAAATAAGATTGACTAATTATTAAACTTCTTAATTTAACACCATTTAATGCTAGAAATGTAAAACATTGACATGACTCTATTTACATATCAAATGTGCATTGCCAAAATTTATCGAGTGTGACCTTCAGGATATATTTCTTTTATATTCCTCCTATATAAGAACCTCCGGAGCCAGCCACAGCCATGCTGGGACCACTCTCCACAGGTCCAGACAGGCCTCATGCATGAAAGAACTGGCAGAGGAACCCAGGCATGTGGGTCCTGGGGCTGAGGTCTCCAAACCTACTCAGATTGGGACTGGGCCTTCTCCATCCAGACCCCCAACTTCCAGTAGGTAGGCATCACACTTACAAGCTGCTGCCAGCGCCAGGTTGGTCCCATCAACGGCCAAGATGCAGAGACTATAAAACCCAGTTCCCAGACATCTTATTATCTTATTTTTCCTTTGGAGAACCTGGCAGGCTACCCAAAGTATTCTGCCAGCACGGGAGAGTCTGGCAAACTTCCCGTGTCATACTCAATATGCCAAATACCAGTAACATTGATGGGTCTCATTCTCCTAATCCTGAAAGACCATTGAAATGGCTCTTTTAAAATCTCAGGGATAGGAAGAAGGAGACATTACTGGTGCCTGCTCGAGGAAATCGATGAACAACAGGATGATCGTGATCGTGATTCCTCCTATAAAATGCCTGAAAAAGAGTAGACTACACACTGGACAATTTTAAAATACTGTCTTTTGTCATGGGCTGCAGTGATAGCACAAAGGTAGGGAATTTGCCTTGCATGCAGCTAACATGGTCGACCCGAGTTCAATTCCTCCACCCCTCTCAGAGAGCCCGGCAAGCTACCAAGAGTATCTTGCCCGCACGGCAAAGCCTGGCAAGCTACCCATGACACATTCAATATGCCAAAACACAGTAACAACAAACTCTCACAATGGATACATTACTGGGCCTGCTCGAGCAAATCGATGAGCAATGGGAGGACAGTGACAGTGACAGTCTTTTGTCATATTCAGTGTTGTACTTGCCATGACAATCTGTAAGTTCCCAATTTCTTGAATATATTTATTCAATTACTTAAACTCTTTGAACCATCATGTCAGCATATATGAAAGAAAACATTTAAATTATGCACTCGGTGCTTTATTAGCCATATTTCTTTCACTCTAGCACAACTGCATTCAATTAGTAGTCTGTGAAAAAGGAATTGACTAAAATTCCCTGTGATTACAAGACTTCAAAAAACTTTATTAGCAATATCACCATATTCTTCTAGCTAAACTTTTGATGAAATTTACTACTTTATTAAATCCAGGTCAACATGTGGTACTTGACCTTTTTCACTTGGAATATTTAGAGCTATTTATATAGTAGTTAAAATTTAAAAGGACAATGCACCTTACTTGTAAAATGACAGTAATCCAATTGCTCATCGTTTGGTATTTAAATATCCCTAACTTTTGACAGAAATGATTTCCAGTACTAGTTACCAGAATGTATTTATAGGATTAAAGACTTTATCTTGCATGTGACTAACCCAGCATCAACTGCCATCATGACATATGATACCCCTTTTCTTGCCAGGAATGATCCTTGAGCATTAACTTGATAGTAATCTCTGAGTAACCACATTTTTTGTCTCCTCAAACAACCCCCTAGATACCCCCCAATAAAACAAAAAGTATACAAATATACATATGCTTGGATATTTTTAAGCATAGCAATTTTTCATCAACATAAGCAAAAATACCTTTTGGCTTTTATAACAATCACTGTCACTGTCTTCCCGTTGTTCATCAATTTGCTTGAGCGGACCCAGTAACATCTCCATTGTGAGACTTGTTACTGTATTTGGCATATTGAATACGTCACGGGTAGCTTGCCAGGCTTTGCCTTGCGGGCAAGATACTCCCAGTAGCTTGCTGGGCTCTTCGAGAGGGCGGAGGAATCGAACTTGGGTAGGGCATGTCGGCTGCGTGCAAGGCAAAAGCCCTACCCACTGTGCTATCACTCCAGCCCTTTATAACAATATATGTTTGAAATTTTTCATTCATATTATTAAATAATTTAAAATTGAGAGTCATATGAAGAAAGTTATGTGCCTGTCAACTTTTTTCCTTTTACTCTTTATCTTGCAGCTTCTCTATTTATGGTCAATCCATTAAATGATACTGAATTTTAAGTTGTACCATTTTTCATTTTATGAACAAAGAGAAATAGAAAGACTATAGAGTTTTTAGTCATTTTACAAGCATTTGAATATTATGTGGAGATGTGGTGATGTTCGAACACATGTTTGT